AGAAAAATGAAATTTAAAAAATCTATACAAAATCCAAGACTCAAGTTTTAAAGATGGAAAGATATAAAGTTACTCTCTGTTTCTGTGTGTAACTCATCAAGACCTGGTAACAGACCATTTGTGGCCTGGCTCTGGTCCACAGACCACACTTCATGCAGTGCTGCTCAAACTCCCAGAAGCTGGGGTAGGGACACTCTTGCCTCTCAGGGTGGTACCAGAAACCACCAGTCTGAATCCTACCCCACTGTCTTCTTCAGTCCCAGTTTGAGTACCTCCCCCCACCCCAACCCCCAGCCCCATTGTGTGGCTCTCATACTAGGTCCTCTCTTCTCTCACTATCCTCACACAGCTGCAGATCCCCAAGCTTTCTCCATCTCCACAAGCCTCTGCAGCCCCTGCTTCTCCCCGAGTCATCAGTTTATGATGAGGGACCTTGAAAGACATGCCTAGAGCAGAGGCTTCTGAGCCAAGGGTTGAGCCAAGAGTGTGACGTTGCCTTTGACACAGCCAGGACCTCTCCTGAGCCTGGTGCTCAGCTCCAGAGACTGTTGGGAGAGGAGGTCAGGCTCATCTGCCCCTTGAACTGAGAGGATGTGGCTACTTCTGCAGATGGCAGGTGCATTTCTGGGTTTAAGACAAAGTGCTCACCTGTCCTTCCTCTTAGGGGTTGATGCTGGAATCTGGGGCTGCATTGTTTCAGTGGTCTCTGCTGGAGGTGTCAGGACTCTGCATTCAGGGCAAGTGGTCATGCATGTTGTAGGAAGCAGGAGATGTTTGAACTTGAGGTGTTTATTATGATCAGATCAGAAAGCTGATAGTCAGGCCCCAGACAGGGAGCTGGTGAAAGAAGGCCATGTGGAGCTGGTCAGAGGAGATGTCTCCCTATGGTGGGCAGAGCAAATGGAAGGGGAAATGCTCTGGGCTTTCTTAGTGGAGGTAGGAACTCCCACCTACCTGGGGTCAGCAGCAATCCCAGAGCTTATAACATGCTTCCAGAAATCCTACAGAGGACAGATACATGCCTCTAAAATCATCCACATTTTTTTTTATCACTTACATATTTTTTTATGACTATCTTTGTTATTTCTCCTTTTTTTTTTAAAGATTTTATTTATTTATTCATGAGAGACAGAGAGAGAGACAGAGGCAGAGGGAGAAGCAGGCTCCCTGCAGAGCAGGGAGCCCGATGTGGGACTCGATCCCAGGACCCTGAGATCACGACCTGAGCCGAAGGCAGACGCTTAACCGACTGAGCCACCCAGACATCCCTTATTTCTCCTTCTTACAGATATTTTTGCAACAGACGTAGCTTTATTCATTACAAGCTACTGGTGATTTAGTTTTTTAAAAGATTGTATTTATTTGAGAGAGAGAGCACAAGCAGTGGGAGGGGCAGAGGGAGAGGGAGAAGCAGACTCCCTGCTGAGTGGGGAGCCCAATGTGGGGCTCAATCCCAGGACCCTGGGATCATGACCTGAGCGGGAGGCAGACGCTTAACCAACTGAGCCACCCAGGTGCCCCGCTACTGGTGATTCATTTAGGCTTTCTCCTTTAATGTTTTAAAATTACAAAAGGAATTCAGAAGTATATAAAATGGAAATCTGTCTTCATCACCCCTACAGTCCTGTGCTCCTCAATCCTCCCAAGAGTTAAGGATTTTTACCAGCTGTTAGCAGTGTGCCCTTGCCAATTCATGCTATGCATTTACAAACACCTGTCTCTTTCATCGCTCACCCTAGGGGAAGCAGTCCCATGAGCAACTCGTTGGAGAGGCCCAAGTGGAGAGGAATGGAAGCCCCTGGCCGGCAGCCACATGAGTGAGTTTGGAAGCAGGTCCTCCAGCCCTCACCAAGCCTTCAGATGAGACTGCAGCCCTGGTTGACACCATGACTGCAACCAAACGACAGACTCTGAGCAGGACCACCCTGAGGAATTCCTGACTCTCTGAAACTGTGTGAGATAATAAATGTTTGTTGTTTTAAGGTGCTAAGTTTTGGAGTAATGGGTTACACAGCAATATAATTAACATGACTTTCATTTCTCTCTAATTACGGCATCATTTTTTGGTTCCTCTCTATAGCAAAGCTCTTCAAAAGAGTTGTCTATACTCATCACCTCCTTTTCCCTCCTTCCCTCCCCTAATCCTATCCTGGTATGTTAGCCAATGTCTACTATCTGGGTGACTAGGATGTCACATTGCCCTGTGTAGACCCTAAGATGAGGGTTCACATGTAGCCCATTGTACCTGTTGCAGACCCTAAGATGAAGGTTCACATGCAGATTTATTAAGGAAGAACCCTTAAGAGAAATTGGGAAGGGAGTGGGGGAAGCAGGACAGGGAAGAGGAGGAAGTGGAGCAAGGATGACATTCCAGGCAAAGTCCAAGGCTCCTACTGATCCCGGGCAGCTCTGGAGAAAATTACACCTTAACGTGTAATTTTGGGGCACCTGGGTGTCACAGTCGGTTAAGCATCTGACTCTTGGTTTTGGCTCAGGTCACGATGTCAGGATTGTGAGATCAAGCCCCATGTGGGGCTTCGTGATCACAGATTCTGCTTGAGATGCTCTCTCCCTCTCCCTCTGCTCCCCTCCCCCACTTGCTCTCTCTCTAAAATAAATAAATAAATCTTAAAAAAAAGATTTAAAATAAAAGTTTGTTCCACCTTGTGGGGCGCCTCAGGTGGCTCAGTCGTTTAAACATCGGACTCTTGATTTTGGCTCAGGTCATGATCTCAGGGTCGTGAGATTGAGCCCCACATCAGGCTCCACGCTGGGTGTTGAGCCTGCTTGGAATTCTCTCTTTCTCCCTCTGCCCTCCTCTCCCTGCCCCCAAATAAATCCAAACAAACAAATAAACAAATAAAAATAAAATAAAAATTGTTCCACCTTGAGGCAAAGAGCTGGACTTTCATACTGCCATACTAGTCAGTCTCTGTGTGGGCTATGGGATACAGGGCCTTAAGCTCCCAGATAGTTCTGACTGTCTGCATGTGCAGGCAAAGCAACTGTAGGAGCCCAAGAGAAATAGTCTAACGATCACAGGAGCAAGCTCTTGGAATAAAAACACCTAGACGGAAGAAGGGCACAGGGAACGATTTAACAGATTTAAGGAGAGCTGGGCAGAGTATAGTCAATATTGGCCCCAGCAGTGCTTCTTCAACTTTAATGTGCATTCGATTCATCAGGGGCTCTTGTTAAAATGCGGACTCTGGCTTCATAAACTTGAGATGGGGTTGAATCCTGCATTTGTAATGAGCTTCCTGGTGATGCTCAAGCTTTGAGTAGCACTGAGCTGCGGTACCATTCATGGGAACTTCATGTTATAGGAACTGATCCTTCCGTGAAAGAACATCAAGTATGTCCTGGTTATCTACCAGGTGTATCCAACCACCCTCACAACAGAGTGGTCTAAAATACAATTTACTATTCTGTGGGTTGATTGGGCCCAGCTCAGCAGTTCTCATTGGGGGTCTCTCACGGAGTTGCAGTCAGAAGTTGGTTGGAGCTGTGGTCTTCTGTGCTGAATGTCCAAGAGGGCTCACTTACTGGGTTGGCAGCTGACACAGGTTTTTGTCAGGGAGCTCAGGAGGAGCTACTGACTATCATGCCTTGGCGTGGCCTCTCCATGTGGCCTGGGCTTCTCACAGCAATGGTGGTCATTCTAAAACGTACCCAGGATTTGTGTTAATCAGATATGGTAAGACAGGCAGACCTAGAAATGACTGTCATGGAGGAAGACGTTTATACTTACTCTAGATCCCTAGAGACAGGCGGCACAGCTGCCTTGCAAGGCCACATGAAGAAGCACCAGGGTCGGTGGGGAGGCAGAGAGAAGGGAGAGGAGAGCATGAGCATGCCCAGAGCCTTTTCTGGGGCTTTCATGAGAAGGAATGGGTGAGGCAAGGTAGATGTGCTGAGTAAGTTTAGGATTGGATAGTTTGAATAATTTTGGTCTCTGGCTGCAGGGGTGGTCCTTAGTTGCCTGGTACTTGGCCCTGTGGGGACTTAGGACAGGGGGAATATTGGCTTGGTGTGTGAGAATTTCATAAAGGGGATGGTTGGAAGTGCGGGCTGGATAGGTTAGTTTGTATATCAAAGCCACACTCATGAAGGAGGCTCTAGAAATTCTCTAACCCTGGGAAGGGCAGTCTCTCCAGGATCAAATGCCAGAGCATTAAGAAGAGAGAAAATAAGTAAAAATAGTCAATATATAGCTGCGTTCTGAAAGGGATCATCCCAAGAATGACCATTCCAAGAGGCAGGAAGCAGAGGCTAATAAGACAGTGAAAAGCTATGCCCAGAACTGGCATATCACTTCCACTATATTCTTTTGGTTGAAGCAGACATTGGACAACTCAGATACAAGTGGGAAATAAACTCCACCTCCTGATAGGGGTGTGGCAGGGTTACTTCACAGAAGGACACGTGGGATGGGTGAAATTGCTGTGGCCATCTTTGGAAAGTACAATCTGTCAGATGCATATCTTAATTAGTGTAAATATCTATGTAAATATCTGACAACGTCCAAGTTAGCAGATTCTGCAGGCAAAATGCTCCTGAACAAAAATATCTCAATGTATGAAGGCTCTTCATCCCCACCAATCTGAGTAGCAGGAAGGCCAATCCTCCCAATGGGTTACCTTCTGGTATATCCAGTTTCCAGTGATGCAAGTCAGCCTACAAACGACTCCAGGTACTTGCTCACTGCTGCCCCTTGCTGGCATATCAGACATTCAGTTATTCCCCACCAGCCAAGACTCCAAATTAGTGCTCCCCACCCTCATCCCAGCCTGGGGAAAAATATTGTTCGTTATTTACAACTGTCCACTGCCTTCTAAAGAAGATGGAGCATAAAGACTGTCAAAGAAAGAGTGCAAAATTGGGAAAGAGTGCAAAATTGGAAGCAAGCCAGGAAAGGGTTAAATTGCTCTGCAGAAAGAGCGAAAATCTACAGGGGGTGGTTGGGAACAGAGACTGAAACTTCCCAGGAAGGGTGAGCGGAAGGGGGTGTGGGGGGGAGGCCTGGGGTGGGGGAGTGGGGAAGTAGTGGGGAGGGTGGGATGTGTTTGGCTGAGAAGAAACTTGAGGGAGAGTGGAGATGTTAAGTTTGCTCTGTGCTCTGCCATGTGACCCTCTACCCCTTGAAACCTCAGAACAAAATGTCTTTCTTACTCTCATGCATTGTGCAGTGGATTTTCTTTGGAGAAGAATGCTGCTGAGTCGACACAAGGTTGGGGAAGGGTGGATCAGAGGCTCCCACTGGGAGAACACCAGGTCCATGTTCAGGGTTCCATGGAGCCCTGGGTACCTCTGCACTGTGGTCTACAGTCTGACCATTCCCTTCTTTAAGGAAAAGAGTATCTAAAGTGAGGGCACAAAAAGGGCATAAGGTGAGTTTGGAAAGGGAGGAAGAGACCTGTATGGGTGGGGAATCTGTCTGAGTGTATTGGGAGGGGTGAGGAACAGGGAGGCAGGAGATGATGCTGGTAAGTGGGTTACGGCTCTGGGTAGGGCCTTACTTACCTTCCCCATCAAAGGTTCTCCCAGATATCCTAGTCAAAATCTTAGAGTAATCCAATAAGTCTCCATGCTGCATGTGGCCCAGGCTTGGTTCAATATTACATTCAAAGCACTGTGATGGAATGATGGAATTCCTGTAAGCTCCAATCATTCATTAGCTTCCTCCAGCGGAATCTTTGCTTCTATACCGAAGAAGTCCATCCCTCCTGCAGGGGCAACCGCCACTTTGGGGCTCGGCTGGGGCATTGGACAATCCTTGGCTACTTGGGACAGTTTGTAGGGCATATTCCAGTGGGGGATGAACCAGCAGCGGGGAGAGCAGTGTCCCGTGGGCTGAAGGCAGGCCTTTCCGAACACCTCACTCATCTCTGCCTGTTCTTGCAAAGGTCCCCCAAGAGCTTCCTGGCAAAGACTTTTCACACTTTTTAACTACTTGGCAAGTGGTTTACAAATCCTTCTAAATACCAGTAGATTAGTCTGTGGAAATCCAAAACTTTAGAAAAAATTAATTGAAAGAGCTATTGAATTGAGGAGGTTTTGCCTGAGTAAATATTTTCTCTATGGAATTCTGATCTATTCATTTAGTAATCCTAATTATGGTTTTGCTAATTTGGGCGTCGTTTCAGACAAAGTGCTTTATTCCATCAGGAGCCATCACTAGGTTAAGAGGATTTTGTTTTTCATTTGTGCTGTTTCAAAGGAAATTCATTCTTGCAACCACTTTAGCTGTGCTCTGCTTATGTCTACTGCCTTGTTGCTCAAGGTTGACAAGAAAATACCCCTGGCTTTTGTTAGTTCCTATGGCTGGTCCTTTGTATGCTGGTCACGTTCTCTCTCTTCCGGCCCTCCTGGGGACTCACAGCAGAGATACGCAGAGGTGGATGTGCTGCATTTTCCAGGAGTTTCCATTTTCAAAATAATGCCAGACCTTCAGAGCAGAGGTGAAGAACTGTTGGGCCTTGGGGTCTTTGTGTATGCGGTGTCTTCTACTGGAAGCACACCCTCCCCCTTCCTGCAATCACACACAACTGGATAAACGTCCTTGCACGTGTCCCTGTGGGCCCCTATGAGAATGCACTTGGGATATACACCCTGGCAAGGGTCTGCTGGGTCACAGGCTGGTGCATCCTGGTCTCACCTCGGCTGTATTGATTTGCAGGGGTTCTCAGGATTTTCTAGATATCACTTCCTATCTCTACTTCGTTTTGGACATGGCAAATACTTCTCATCTATCGTGCCTACTCTGATCTGGCTGGGTCTGGAGAATCACGTTTGGTCCTGGGGGTCCTATTTCAAGAGACCCTGACATGGCTGGCACAGAGAAGAGAGACTCACTTTGTGAAACCTGTCACATAGGAGCTGTATCAGTGAGTGGAGCGTGGGGAGATATGGACTTCAGGTGAGATAAGGAAGGTGCCCAGAGCCACCTGCCAATGAGTGGCAGTAAGCACAGGGTCACATCAGGAGTGTTTAAACAGAAGACAGTTACTTGCCGGGGATACCGTGCACAAGGGCTTCAAGCATTAGATGGCTCTTTCTAACTCAGATTTTTCAGACTTTTCTGAGTTCTCACGTGTTGGACGTCCGAGAAGGAATCACTGAAGAAGAGACACAATTTAAATTCTTTTCGTTCTTGTCCTGGCTCCGGCTGCTGTGACAAAAATACCATAGATTGAGTAGCTTAACCGACAATTCGTTTCTCATGGTTCTGGAGGCTGGGAAGTCCGAAACCCACACACCAGCAGATTTGGTGAGGGCCTGCTTCCTGGTTCCGAGACCACCATCTTTTCCCCATGACCTCACAGGGTGGAAGGGGCGAGAGAGCTCTCTGGGGTCTCTTTTAGAAGGTGCTAATCCCATCCATGAGGGTTCCACCCTCATGACCTAGGGTCCCATATCCTAGGGTCCCATATTCTAAGGGTCCCATATCCTAATATCATCTCTTTGGGGGGTAGGATTTCAACATATGAATTTTGGGGGACACGAACTTTCAGCCCATAGCAATTCCCTTTTCTTCTTTTCTTCAGAACTCTCTATATTCTTCATTTTTCATGGTATGGCATGCCCCATGGCCTTGTCCTTTGTAAGAGTCGTGCACCCATATGCACACCAAGACCTGTGCTCAATCATGTTCACACAGACACATGCACATCAACAGACCCACATATACACACACTCACCCACTCACAAGTACATGGGCACATACACACATATTGTAATTAATATTGAACGCCCCACAAAACACACACGACTACACAGGCGTATCTCGGTGATATTGTGAGTCCGGTTCTAGACCACTGCAATGAGACGAATATAGCAATAAGGTGAGTCGAATGAAGTTTTCGGTTTCTCAGTGCGTATAACAGTTATGTTTACACTCTGTTGTGGTCTATTAAGCATGCAATAGCATTATGTCTAAAAAGAATGTACATGCCTTAATTAAAAAATACTTCATTGTTAAAAAAGCTAACCACCATCTGAGCTTTCAGCAAGTTGTAGTCACGGATCACAGATCACCACAACAAATATAATCATAATGAAAAAAGTTTGGAATCTTGTGAGAATTACCCAAATGTGGCCCAGAGACACAAAGTGAGCAAATGCTGTTGGAAAAACGGTGGCAATAGGGGTGCCGTGAACCTTCAATTTGTAACCACTGCCATATCTGTGCATCTGCCCCCGCAGATTGTTTGTGCTCCTGAAGTGCGGAGGAACCGGTAAGCACTCAGTCTGAAAGGCTGCACAGTCGCCGATCCTCCTTGGTGTGGAAGCGCCATCTTTGTAGGTGCAATCCTGCCAGCGCATCTGAGGGAAGTGCAGCCCGCATTCTGCAGGGAGGTAAGTGTCCTCCCAGAATCCAGCTCATTCCATAGGTGAGGGGCCGTGCAGACACAAGGGGCCCTTGGTAATCAAGGCCGTTCTGCAACCCTTTCCACTCCCAACTTGGTGTCTCCCAGAATAATCCTTAAGCCTTTCCTGACAAGGGCTAAATAAAACCCTGGAATTTGGCCTCTTTCCTCCCAGGAAGCCCACCCACCAGACAAACTGTTGCCTAATGCAGTATCTTGGTCATTGAGCTTCTGGGTCTTATGCCTCCTTTATCCTGGCTTAGAGCTACTTACTTTTCTAAGCACAGGTGGGTGAGAAAGTTCAGGAAGCAGAGTGTCCAGAGAGGGCTGCAGCTCCTGCCAATGGAAGCTGGTTTTGTAGGTGGCGGTAAATTTGGGGGCTAGACTGATTTTTCCCTCCCAACGGCCTCTGGACCAAGTCAAGCCGCTGAGATGCACCCCATTGAACACTGGGCAAAGGATAATGCCCAGACAATTTATTGAGCAAGGAAAAAAAAAAGAGTATTTGAAAAGATGCTCAAACCACATTAGTAATCAAAGATATGCAAATTAAAACAAAAATGAAAAATTACTTTATACATGTTCTACTGGCAAAAAGAGAAGGTGAGTAATCCAAGTATTAGGAATGAGGGAATGGTAAAACTGTCATCACTGGGGAGAGTGTTGAACCACCTGACCCCATGCTCACTCTCTGCCTGCAGACACAGAGAGAAGGTGTGGCCACACGTTCCTTCCTGCTGACCTTGGGGCACCTGCACCAAATACCTATGAGCTGTGAAGGTCCAGGCCAACCGTGCAGAGAGATGACCCTGCTGATTGTGGAGGAGGCAGAGGGCGTGGCTCATCTTGGCTGGGAGGAGGCTTCCCAAAAGATTGTGACATCTAGGCTAGATGGGCCACTAGAAGCCCTGTCCCAAGTGGTCACCTGCTAAGCATTGGTCTGAGGAACAGTGGTCACTAGGTGGCTTTGTGTCATTTAAGGTCCACTCAAGCTCCAGCTCTGGCCTATTCTCAGCCCCCTGAGACCTACAGAAGGTGGTTTGAATGTAGGTCCAGATGACACGTTGAGGACCTCTGGTGAGGGGAGAGAACAGGGTCAAGGACGGACCATGCAGGAAGCGCTTCATCTGGGCATGGTCAGAGAGGAAGAAGGAGATCCCGGGAGCAGGCGGAGCCTGGGGACACCGACACATGGGTAGGATGAGGGGTGATAAGGGCCACCAAATCTCATGACAGGAATAAAGAAAGACTACAAGAGACCATGAAAAGGTTTTTTCCCCCCTCATGATGTATTATAATAAGGACTAGCCAGTATTTAAACATGATCGAGGAGATGAAAAATTCTGATATTGTGAATTGAACATCAAACTAAAATATGTGTGCCTTTAAGTCTGAAGTTTATTCAGGAAAAAACCAAGTTTGCCCAAGAACATAAAGGATTCCTCAAACCTTCATTTGTTGTTTGTAAAGGCTGTTTTCATTGACTGAAAGATTGTGCCAGCCTTCCTGTGCGCCTACTGATGCAGAAGCAGCCATAAGCTTTACGAAAGGAAGAGCCACTCCCCTTAAAGGGGCATTTCTGACCTCGATAAGATTTGTGTAGGACACAGGACCTTCAGAGTGTTGCTTCAGGTCAGATGTTAGGATTTCAAGGACCAGTGGAAAAGTTTTCTTTCTTTCTTTCTTTTTTTTAAGATTTTATTTATTTATTTGACAGAGAGAGACACAGCGAGAGAGGGAGCTCAAGCAGGGGGAGTGGGAGAGGGAGAAGCAGACTCCCCACTGAGCAGGGAGGCTGACGTGGGGCTCAATCCCAGGACCCTGAGATCATGACCTGAGCCAAAGGCAGACGCCTAACAGCTGAACCACCCAGGCACCCCAGTGGTAACGTTTTCTTAAAATGAGGTAATACTCGGGGCGCCTGGGTGGCTCAGTCATTAAGCGTCTGCCTTCAGCTCAGGTCATGATCCCAGGGTCCTGGGATCGAGCCCCACATTGGGCTCCCTGCTCCGCGGGAAGCCTGCTTCTCCCTCTCCCATTCCCCCTGCTTGTATTCCCTCTCTCGCTGTGTCTCTCTCTGTCAAATAAATAAATAAAATCTTAAAAAAAAAAGAGGTAATACTAGATTAAAATGTATTTTTTTTTCAAGTGGGAACATGAAACAACATTCCATTACCTCATGAAAGACAGGAAGGACATCATCCAAGAATAAAGGACAGCCCTTTGAATAGAACACATTACGATTTAGGTGAGAACCCAGACTGAATCTCTGCTATTGTTCATGTCCTCCTGGAGCAGGATTCGGCATTTGATTACCTCTCCCAAAAGTCAGATAGGACTCCAAAGATCATTAGCGAGTGATGTGACTTTTACTGTGAGTTGGTGAAACCATGGGATGGAGGATAATCCTATAAACTGCAAAACAGACTAAAGTCAAACACCCCTTGGTCATCTCTGTCCTACCCCCGAAACTCTGGTGACCAGGTGCCTCACTTCTATCTCATCAGTCCCCACGTGGCCTCTACCCTTCTCTGACTCCCGGAAGGTTTGAGATAGACACTCAAATGCCAATTTATTGCTCTATAATGTTAAATGTCAGTGAATCAAGACTTAATACCAATCCAATTGCAGGTTCAACCTCCCAGAAATGTAACCTTTAACCAGTCAACATGGAATTATCTGGTCAGCACTAGTGAGGTAATCCAACTGATAGAGCCTTCTGGTCCCCTTAGGAGGGTGACCTCACCTGAAATTCTTGCCAATAATTCTTGCTAATAATTTCCTTTTTCTGCCCCCTTTCTGCCTTTAAAAGCATTTCATTTTCTACAGCTGGGCAGAGCTCCTTTATTTTTGCTAGATGGGATGTCGCCTGATTCATGAATCCTTGAATAAAGACAATTTGATCTTTAAATTTCTTCAGTAGAATTTTTGTCATTTAACAGATATGGTGGCCCTGATGGGATCTGAAGTGAACGTTTTTTAAGTTTTAATTCAAATTCCAGTTAGTTAACATACAGTGTAATATTAGTTTCTGGTGTACAATATAGTGATTCAACACTTCCATACAACACCCAGTGCTCATCACAAGTGCCCTCCTTAATCCCCATCAGTGATTTCCCCCTTGCCCCCACCCTCCTCCCTTCTGTTAATCACCAGTTTGTTCTCTATAGTTAAGAGTCTGTTTCTTGGTTTGCCTCTCTCTCTCTCTCTCTTTTTTTTTTTTTTGCTTTGTTCATTTGTTTTGTTTCTTAAATTCCACATATGAGTGAAATCATATGGTATTTGTGTTTCTCTGACTGACTGATTTCGCTTAGCAAAATACTCTCTACCTCCATCCATGTCATTGCAAATGGCAAGATTTCATTCTTTTTGATGGCTGAATAATATTCCATTGTGTTTATATACCACATCTTCTTTATCCATTCATCCGCTGATGGACACTTGGGCTGTTTCCATAATTTGGCTATTGGAGATAATGCTGCTGTAAACATCAGGGTGCATGTATCCCCTTGAATTAGTATTTTTGTATTCTTTGGGTAAATACCTAGTAGTATGATTGCTGGATCATAGGGTAGTTCTACTTTTAACTTTTTGAGGCACCTTCATACTGTTTTCCAGAGTGGCTGCACCAGTTTGCATTCCCACCAAAGTTGCAAGAGTGTTCCCCTTTCTCTGCATCCTCACCAACACCTGTTGTTTCTTATGTTGTTTATTTTAGCCATTCTGACAGGTGTGAGGTGACAGCCCATTGTAGTTTTGATTTGTATTTCTCTGATGATCAATGATGTTGAGCATCTTTTCATGTGTTTATTGGCCATCTTTATGTCTTCTGTGGAAAAAGGTCTATTCATGTCTTCTGCCCATTTTTTAAGATTTTTTTTTTTTTTATTTGAGACAGAGAGAACGAGAGAGAGAGCACATGAGAGGGGGGAGGGTCAGAGGGAGAAGCAGGTTCCCTGCTGAGCAGGGAGCCCAATGCGGGACTCGATCCAGGGACTCCAGGATCATGACCTGAGCCAAAGGCAGTTGCCCAACCAACTGAGCCACCCAGGCGCCCCTATTTTTTAATTGGATTATTTGTTTTTTTGGGTGTTGAGTTTTATAAGCTCTTTATAGATCTTGGATACTAACCCTTTATCAGATACGTCATTTGCAAATATCTTCTCCCATTCCATAGGTTGCATTTTAGTTCTGTTGATTGTTTCCTTCACTGTGCAGAAGCTTTTTATTTTGATCAAGTCCCAATAGTTTATTTTTGCTTTTGTTTCCCTTGCCTCAGGAAACATATCTAGAAAGAAGTTGTTATGGTTGATGTCAAAGGGGCTACTGCCTCTGTTCTCCTCTAGGATTCTGATGGTTTCGGGTCTCACATTTAGGTCTTTCATCCATTTTGAATTTATTTTTGTGTATGGTATAAGAAAGTGGTTCAGTTTCATTCTTTTGCATGTTTCTGTCCAGTTTTCCCAACACCATTTTTTGAAGAGACTTTTTTCCCCATTGGATATTCTTTCCTGCTTTGTTGAAGATTAATTGACCATATAGTTGTGGGTTCATTTCTGGGTTTTCTATTCTGTTCTATTGATCTATATGTCTATTGTTGTGCCAGTACCATATTGTTTTGATCACTACAGCTTTGTAATATAATGTTTTTTAAAAGATTTTTATTTTTAAGTAATCTCTACACCCAATGTGGGGCTCAAACTCACAACCCTGAGATCAACAGTTGCATGTCCACCCAGGTGTCCATAATAGAACTTGAAGTCTGGAATTGTTTTTGTTTTGTTTTTAAGATTTTATTTATTTATTTGTCAGATAGAGACATAGCGAGAGAGGGAACACAAGCAGGGGAGCGGGAGAGGGAGAAGCAGGCTTCCCGCCGAGCAGAGAGCCCAATGTGGGGCTCGATCCCAGGACCTTGGGACCATGACCTGAGCTGAAGGCAGACAATTAATGACTGAGCCACCCAGGCGCCCCTGAAGTCTGGAATTGTGATGCCTCTAGCTTTGTTTTTCTTTTTCAAGGTTGCTTTGGCTATTTGAGATCTTTTGTGGTTCCATAAAAGTTTTAGGATTGTTTGTTCTGGCTCTGCGAAAAATGCTGTTGGTATTTTGATAGGGATTGCATTAAATGTGTAGATTGCTTTGGGTTGTATAGACATTTTAATAATATTTGTTCTTCCAATCCATTAGCACGGAAGGTCTTTCCATTTCTTTGTGTCATCTTCAACATCTTTCATCAATGTTTTCTAGTTTTCAGAGTACAGGTCTTTCACCTCTTTGATTAGGTTTATCCCTATGTATCTTACTGTTTTTGGTGTAACTGTGAATGATGTATAGAAATGCAACACATTTCTGTATGTTGATTTTGTATTTGGTGACTTTACTGAATTTGTGTATCAGTTCGAGCAATTTTTGGGTGGTGTCTTTCGGGTTTTCTATATAGTATCATGTCATCTGCAAATAGTGAGAGTTTGACTTCTTCCTTGCCAATTTGGATGCCTTTTATTTCTTTTTGTTGTCTGATTGCTGTGGCTAGGACTTCTAGTATTATGTCAAATAACAGTGGTAAGAGTGGACATCCCTGTCTTCTTCCTGACAGGAATGATGGTATTAGGATGATATTAGTTGTGGGTGTTTCATATATGGCCTTTATCATGTTGAGGTATGTTCCCTCTAAATCTATTTTATTAAGAGTTTTTTTTTATCATGAATGGATGTTGTACTTTGTCAAATGCTTTTCCTGCATCTATCGAAATGATTATATGGTTCTTATCCTTTCTTTTATTAATGTGGTGTATCATGTTGATTGATTTGTGAATATTGAACCACTCTTGCAACCCACGAATAAATCTCACTTGATCATGGTGAATGATTTTTTAAAATGTATTCTTGGCTTCGGTTTGCTAGTATTTTATTGAGAATTTTTGCATCCATGTTTGTCAGAGATATTGGCTTGTAGTTGTCTCTTTTAGTAGAGTCTCTATCTGTTTTGGTATCAGAGTAATGCCAGCCTCATAGGATGAGTTTGGAAGTTTTCCTTCCTCTTCTATTTTTTGGAATAGTTTGAGAAGAACAGGTATTAATGCTTCTTTAAATGTTTGCTAGAATTTGCCTGTGAAGCCATCTGGCCCTGGACTTTTGTTTGTTGGGAGTTTTTTGATTACTGATTCAATTTCTTTGCTGGTTATTGGTCTGTTCAAATTTTCTATTTCTTCCTGTTTTAGTTTTGGTAATTTATATGTTTCTAGGAATTTATCCATTTCTTCTAGGTTGTCCAATTTGTCAGCATAGTGTTTTTCATAATTTTCTCTCACAATTGCTTGTATGGGATCTGAGGTAAACTTTTGATGATGTTTGGGGACAATGAGAAACACAGGTGTGTACTGGTGAAGCCCTTTTTCAGTTCATTGTCTTTCTCACTGTTTCTCACTGTTCTTGGTTCTGAGCTCCACTCTCTTTGCCCTGAGCTCCCAATCTAACTGGCTTTCCAGTCCAGGGCTTAGTGAGTCAGCTTGAGTTGATAGACAGTTCCATCTGAAACCTGAGTCCCTAGCTCTTGGTTCAGTCTGCAATTCCTTGGTTATTTGAAGTCACTTTCCTCAGTTCCAGTCTAAAGTTCCCATTTACTGGGGTTTGCTGGTTTAGTCCACACTGGGA